CTTTATGCTGTGTCCATGATGTGACTGACTTTAGTGGTGATCAGTGTACAAAGTACATGTAGTGGCACATCGGTATCCTTTCTAGTTAAAGAAGTAGAATTTCTGCCGAGGATTTGCGAGATACAGTGAGCAACTGTCAACCAAATTTGTTGTGATCGACTTTCCGATGACTGTTTTTTGAATCACTAAATTTCTAATTGTACCAGTACAAAGAGAATTCCCCATCTCCCCACAAAAGACCTGATAATTTCCCTAAAACGACATCCTTTACTTTATATTCCAAAAACATCTGTTTCCTCCATAACGCGTCAGTTCTGAACTTCCTGGAAACTGCGTCTGCATGTGAATAATAACTTTTAGTGAGTAGAAAATTGTTGAAGTACATGTAGAGTTTCAAAATTTCTGGAACAGTAAAGTCTAATATTCCGAGGCAAATATTATAATTTACTTGAAGCCATTTCAGCTTCACAAGTGTTATTTTTCCAGTGCTGTGATAAAATTCAGTGGCTGCAATCTTTAATAAACACAGGATTAGAAAATTGAAACCCCCAACTCAAAAAGCGACATAACTCTAAAGTTTAAAGTAACTCTAAAGTCTTGCCAAACATGACCGGCCTTCGACCAGCCAAACACCCCTTGGTTTCAGAGAGGTCTCCATTGTCGACACTCATTTGTCATATCTCAGCCCCTCCCTTGGGTTTAGCTCCCCCTCCCCCCCCCTCCACACACAAATTACAACGCTGACCAATTCCTTTGGAATAACAAAGTTTGCAAACCACTGGTGAAACTTAATAGATTGAGTAGAGTTTGGGGACTATGCGATGGTACATGTACGTCGTTGCCTGGACGTTGAAGCGGTCATTGAACGTGAAATTGCTACCTGTATTAAATGAAACACTAGTTTGAGTAAAAAAAAAAGAAAATTAGTAAGAAAAAAAAAGGACATGTTACAAGTGTGTTGAGTGTTAAAGAAGATTTAGTGTTGGGTTTGGTGGGTTTTTTTTTATGGTTCCGGAGTCTGTTGATCAACATTACGTTCCTGGGTGTAATTCAAAGCAGCGTCCATTTATCTTAAAAGTGTATCTCGTGAACAGGAAAGTTAAAGAAGATTCCCTCAAACTTGGACGAAAACTTGGCGTAGAGTGTCCGCTAGGATTACCGATGCTATTAAACGGCTTGTCACCAAAACCAAAACCCTGTCATCGCAAATAATATAATCTGGTTATGTCAGAACTTTACAGAATTTTTTTTTATGGATGGGTTGGATCTTCCATCCTGCGTGTATATGATGACGTTTTTTTTCTCTTCGTTTTTTTTTTTACTTGGAGTTGTCCATATTGCATCCGATACGCGGCTCTCCAAATTGCCTTAATTTCCTGGGCCATCGGAGGAGTATGAAGAGTTTCTTAACGGGAAGGTAAGACTAATAGCCCCCCGGGGCTGCCTGCGGCCGACTACTTTGAACGCTAAAGATGGGTATAGCATGGCACACCCTATCCCAAGCTAGCATCCAGAGCTGTCTTCTCCGACGCTTAGGCGTATAGATCACTAGCCAGAAATTCTGCAAGTGGCACATCCTAAAATTTCTCATCCAACCGGTTCTTAATCATATCGCTTTACGTCAGACAAATTTCAAGCCCGCGAATGCGATCCTGGGCCCGGTGATACACTCCCCGCGCCGGGGATAGGTAGTAAAACACGCTGGCAATTTTTTTTTTCCTTCTCTTTTTGGTTGGTTGGTTTGGTTGAGACGTCGTTGACGAGGGCCTGCTCGGACCCTCTCTCCTGCACGTGACGGCGGTGGAAGACAGATTTACCTACTCGAGATGAAATGATAGATTTGTTTGTCGCAGGCCGGTGGTAAGATGAGCAACCCTTGGTTTGCGGAGAGCGATGATCACAGATTTGTTTCATTTTTGGGTGTCCACGCTTTTGCACGTATCTTTCCAATCCAGCCATCTCCGTTGAACGCCCGGCTTTTTTTCTTTCTTGTCTTCAACTGAAGGAAATGGTTGAACATGAGTAGGCCTCTGATTGCATCCCATCAGCTTTCTGGAGTGACTACTCAGTCCGTACTAAAGCCGTCGTTCGCACTGTGTCGCGTCGCACCGACTGGCGGGACTTAAATCGCCTGGTGAAGGAAAGACCTGTCATCTTGACGCGTACAACCTGCCAATTTGACAACTGGGGCAGACAGCACTGAAGCCGGTCAGCAATAACTATCAATTTTTTTTGTAGCGGCGTGCTGTATGAGTGCACACACTATCAATCCGTTTCTGCGGCACACTCTGTCGAGGATTTGGTTTGGACTGAATTGTCAAGTGACGCATTCACGGATGGGTATGTATGTATTACTGATTATCTTCACATGAAGAGGCACGCGATCACAGAAATTTACTTTGCAACAAGAATGGTGATTGGGAGTTCTAGTCTTGCGGAAACAATCAAGCTTATCGTAAAAATGCTGTTTAGCTAACTAGTGCAACTCGTCATCCAGCAAATACATGTTTTTTCTGGAGAAATGATTCTAACTTTACTTGCATGTTGAGTTTTCCAGATCAGCTTTGGCCACTTGGTTATAAGATGACAGAATGTACATTTTGTTGTCAAGCCTGCCGTTTCCTAGCAATAGTTCAATTTCTTGACAATTACTTGATAACGCAAAATGATTGTGTACAAGTACATTCTTTGTTTTAGGGCATGGTAAACATATCTTTTCTTAACTGGGAAAGCAATTCTTGTGTTCTTATTGTCGAGTTCCGATTGAACAAATAAAACTAAATAGAAGTGTGTGTATCAAATACATTGCACTGAAAAACCGAAAATGAACTACAACTACCTGAAAAGAAGTTGATAATTACTGTATGTACTTAGATTCCAAAATCTAAACAGTCACTTTGTCTGTATTTTTTGTTTTGTATTCTCGTATTTGTTTTATGTCTTCAAATCTTTTCTTTCGTGATAATTCATCCTTCATTGCTTATCTACAAATTAGAAGAGTCACAGAAACAGTGGTACTCTTGTCTAGCATTTGAGCGGGGATTAAGAAAAAATGCCTATTTTGTTTAAAAGGATAAATTTCTCTAGATTGGTTTAAGGAAGTTGATGGAGATGGAGAAAAGTGTAGAATGAATCGTGTGTTTATCAAAATAAAAGACTGGGGAAGCAGTGTTGATTCAAAGTAAATTATAGAAGAAGCGAAATATGAATGTTGGGTTATCCCCCACCCGCATCCCAATCTTAGTGATTTTGGAGGATTTTGGAGGATTCAGCAAAGGGTCAGACGAGTCATTTTATCTCTTGCAAGTTGAAAGACTGTGTCACTGGTTCGTGCTGTATGGAGGATTTTGGAGGATTCAGGAAATTCCTGAGCAAAAATGCCCGGGGAGTGAGGGTTAAATTAAAATCTTATTGCAAGAAGAGACTTACATGTAAATGTTCGCTGTCATTCTTGTACATGTACATTGTGCATTTATTGAGATGAACTTTTCAGTCCTTGACTCATAGGGTTGCAGACCAGTAAATGGGTCCGAAATTGCCTACGCCGGCCAAATCACGATTTGTATGCCCTCAGAATCTTCAGTATTTGAGCATGCTGTGGGCCATGAACTTGAGGGTTTGTAAAAAATATGGGTGGAAGCCGTGCACAGGACTGTGAGCTTGTAGTTCCGTTCAATTTGGATGAAGTTTCGGCCCTTAAAGCGCTCTATTTTGCAATGGAGTGTAGGCATCGTTTTTTAAAATGGTAACGGGCTTCAGGACTATTTTCAGGGGTGGTCAACTTCGGATGGAAATTTCTCCTAAAAGTCATCAGTCGACCCCCCCCCCCCAAAAAAAAATGAAAAGAAAATGAAAGATGATAAAATAAGCTTTAATTTGATGTGTGTCTCGAGCACCTTGGAGAGTTGTGAGTATTTTTCCCGAATTTTTGAAGTGGGAGCATTTACCATTGGGGTCTATGGAAGTTTATTTACTGGTCTGGAACCATAGGTAGTTGTTTGAACAAATTGATAGGTTGAATATGAATATTGTCTGTACATCTGTTTGGTTCTGGTTTGTGGAAGTTTTGCTGTGAATTGGTGTGTTTTCACCCAGTTACTGGCACATGGAAAGGATAAAATGATCGAGATTTTTGGCACAATGCATTCCAACATATTGCAATGAAAATAGCCCTTCATCGTTACCTTCCTCCCCACCTTCTATTTTTGGTTTAGCCTGCCCCTCTCATCCACCACACCCCTGAGCTGAGTGTGTATCAGTCCAGCCAGGCATGCAGCATCTTATTTGCATAATTCTATTGTTAGCCCCATGTGCATGGAATTTGAACTGGCCATGTGTGCTTCAGTCTGCTGGGTGCTGTGCTAGGGATAGGTTGTCTGTGGAGGGCTGTGCAGGTTTTGCCTGGGCGTGGCAAGGAAAGGCTGGATGTAATGATCAAGTACATGTAAGTTGATGTGCATGACAACTTAATTAAATCCCCCCTGGGTTGGGAGTAGAGTTATGGTGCTTTTACCATAAGCTACCCCACTCACTTGACCATCACTGAGCCCCGCCCTTTGTAATTTCTCATAATTAATTGTTTTCTTGCAATTATTTCTACAACAAATTCCCTTATTCGGTACTTTAATTACAGAACTTTAATTGTAGTTGCCCCTAAAATTAGGAGTAATTGGTAATAATTAGTAGTAATAAGTAGACGGATCCAATCTTTCTTAATAAATTTATTTACTTGAACTTGAAGCCTAAACATCTTCTCTCTCTACCAAATTATTCGTTTCTCTGACACAAGCATCCCACCGCTGCCACCAATTGTAGCGTGGTCAGGTGCTGCAGCGAGACAAACAAATGACTTGGTAGAGAGAGAGGCTTCAAGTAAATAAATATATATTAAGAAAGATTGGATCTGTCTACTTATTTCTACTAATTATTACTAATTACTCCTAATTTTAGGGGCAACTACAATTAAAGTTCTTTAATTCAAGTACCGAATAAGGGAATTTGTTGTAGAAATAAATGCAAGGAAAACAATTAATTATGAGAAATTACAAAGGGCGGGGCTCAGTGATGGTCACAGTGAGTGGGGTAGCTTATGGTAAAAGCACCATAACTCTACTCCCAACCCAGGGGGGGATTTAGTTGTCATGCAAATTAACTTATGTGGTCATTACATCCAGGCCTTTCTTTGTCATGCCCAGGCAACCTATCCCTAGCACAGCACCCAGCAGACTTCCCTGCACATGGGGCCAACAATAGAATTATGCAAATACGATGCTGCATGCCTGGCTGGACTGATACACACTCAGCTCAGGGGTGTGGTGGATGAGAGGGGCAGGCTAAACCAAAAAAGAAGGTGGGGAGGAAGGTAACGATGAAGGGCTATTTTCATCACACAATGAAACAACTTTTTTTTAGAGACAAGGATTTGTGAATAAAACATGGACTCTAATCACTGCACCCAAATTGGCCTTTTTTTGCACTATAGGAGTATTTTTTGTACATTAACCCGGTACTTAGTTTTACTAAAGTAAATGTCGAAGACCATGTCTATCAAAATCCATCACTCGCTATGCTTCAAATAAAGTTTCAGGACCAAAACCATTGAAATGCAACACTAGGCGTATCTACCAAAATCCCCCAAATGGGGGATGGATTTTGATGGAGTTGGTGAGGTCATACAGGGTTCATTTTCAGCAATGCAGTAAACAATTGTGTGGACGTCAAGTGGAAAGATTATGAAAAATCCTCCAGTTTTCGAGCTTTCGGCCATTTTCAATTTAATTCAAGGGTCATTCTGATACCCTTCTTTTCTTGATTCCTTTAAGAAAAATCCTTTTCAGCCTTTGACAATGATTGTGCTAGGATCAAAAAAATTAGGCCCTCTAACTTTTTATTTGTGCATGATATTTCTTGTCAATCTAGCCAGTATAAGCAGTTAGCATGGTTAGCAGCAGATTGAATTCATTTTCATTGACATATAAAGGGTACACATTTGTGTATAGGTACTTTAAGTTCTTTGTTTGTTTGTGCTGACAAGACTGAGGACATCATTATTCGTTCAGGAGTTTCTGGAGTGCCAATCCCCCAAATTGCGCATGGTAGAGTTGTGGAGGGGTATATCCTCCACCCCACCACCCTGGGAGCGATGGCCCTGATTTTCATTGACCTTTTTTATTCATCTCAAGTCTGACCTGTTGTGTCCTCTGTTTTTACCCAGTCTGTTGCCCTTTTCCTTTTTGCCCGTTCTATTTGTTTGCCCTTGCTGTTCTGCAGGGGGCAACGCTGACCTTTTGGTGACATTGCCCACTTTGTAATATTAAAAGGTTAGGGCAGATGTCAATATCACTGTGGACATTTCCAAAGCATTCGTTTTTGTTACTGCATAGTGTGTTGCCATAGGACAGCCAGTGGGGAGCATTGTATGATGTGTTCTGCATTAGGCCAAATGTATTTTTTCAACACGATCTTCCCTTGTTGTTAAGTTTGAATCTCTACTCTGCTTTGCAATGTTAAAATGTGTGCAGACTGTGTACAAAATGTACAAGTGTTTTTAAATTGCACTTTTTTAAATTTTAACTGGCTTTTTGATGTTGAGAAATTTTGTTCAGAGCCCTGTTTTTGCATATTGTAAATGTTATTAAAATTTTGTTATATTTTATTGTTTACAACTAGGGTAAGTCTAGGGCCAGACATTTTTAGAATCTTTTTTGGAATCGATCACAAAATTCTAATTAGAATCCAAAAGTCGGGCAATTAGGGCTGCGCGGAATATACGGAATATCAAAATATCCGAGTAGCATGTCACCGAATACAAGTATAACATTCAGAAAATGTCCGTGATGTAATTGAGAGCTTCTGTGGCTGTAATTTTCATCTTTAAATAATTAAATCTGTTAAATATTCTTGAAATATCTCGAAAAAAATGTTTAGAATAGATGCAGACGTGATATTCATCAAACAATTTTTTACGTATGTATCTCAATGTCAATGATCAAATATTTGAAAATTTGAAAATTCCAATAAATCGAATACTAAATTATTTAAAAATGCACTGTTCTCTACAGGCCATCCAACTTTTATAATTTTTATGGCACTCTAGCCAAGGGTGAAATGATGGGCAGACAATTAGTACATTGTATTTGCCAACCGTTTACCATATTTGTCCACACACGGAAAAGATGTGGTCTGCCAGTCAAATTTCATACTCAAGCATGCTGAGTTAGCGGACGAAATTTGACACCCTGCACGTGACAGCTCAAATATTGATTGTGCTAGTTCGTTTTGTTTGAGCAGGTTTTTTGTCTCCAATTTCAGTCTCTGCTCACAAAGCATTTGGTGGCAGCATTTCGTGTCTTATGTTTATTATTTCCTCAAAATATTTTTGTTCTCCCTTTGCATAGATGACAGTACTACAAGCCTAGAAGCCAAAGATATGGACCTGTCCAAAACCAAAGTGACCAACTCGTCCACAGTGCCCAGACCGCCGGGCCTCCTGGACGACTTTCGCAAGTGCATTGCCGGCTACGACGACGTCGTAGAGGAAAACGCGGGGTGTGGACTAACTGAGGTTAAGCATGTGAGGGCGGTAGGCAAGGATGGGGGAGTCGGGACCCGGAAACGGAAACACGAAGAAGAGGGATTTCGGGAAGTGACGCGGTATAACATTTTAGACGGCACCATCTCGCATCACACAGAGCTGAGCGGGTTGAAAGCTGCCCTCCTCCGACAGGAAGCCACGCCCAGCTCCTCAGATGGTAACGTCCTCCGAGCCCTCTTGCAGCAGTCTGGTGCATTAGTCCGGCCCCAGACGCCAGACATGGATAGTGTGTCAGCGGGGAGTCCGAGCCAAGACCCAGAATCGCCGGAGAAGTTCTACCCCTGCAAAGTCTGTAAGAAGAATTACGTCAGTAAGTCCAGTCTGCGGAAGCACTTCTGCATGCCTGGCGTCGGTGGTGGCAACGCGAGCCCGAATGCGGGCGTGCCGTCGCAGCAACCCAACGAGGATGAAATGAGCCCCAGCACGGCAATCCATGCTAAAGACGAACCGTACATGATGAACGGTTCCGTGGGATCACCGGCGCTCCTCACACCGGTCCCGTCGCCTTACGATGATGCTGATAAAGGCGATGACATGGCTGAGGATGGTCCCCTGACTCCTGGGGAGCTGGCCATTGATACTGAATATGGGAAGAGAGAAGAAGATGGCATGGGACCCATCTACACATGTCCCTTGTGTAGTATGACATTCAGGTAAGTAATTTTGATTTAATTTAAGCACAAGAAAATGCAGTTTACAATACCCTATCCAGAACACCTCCCAACCCCCCCCCCCCCCCCCAATAAAAAGTAAGTCCTGTTTCTGCCCCCCCCATCCCACCCCCCCCCCCCAAAAAAAATAACAAATAATAAAACAAATTAAAAAATTTAAGAAACACATGGATATTGCATGTAATTAAATGAAAATAACCGAAAAGTGAAAAACATACATGTACGGTAAGCAGACAAGAAATCGTGACGGACAAATAAACTGACAAACTACGAGCTCCAAAAACCCAAGTTTGCAAAATTACAAAAAAATATACTTAAACTTCTCATGCCTGTCTCTTCCCAAATATTCAGTTTTTGAAGTTGAATTATGTTTTTCTATTTTTGCCACCTGTATTAAAAATTCCATGTTTAAATCAACCGAACAAAATTACAATTACTCCAGTGCTGACTTTTATGCAATATGTATAATATTGGTGTCTTCAAAACGGTTTACATGTGTCTATAGTGCATTATCCTCCTTCAAAAAAGAGCAAACAAAAAATATAGAAACACTGAGAGTTTGTGTCTGGAAACTTTTCAAAAATGTATAGGCCGCGGAACTGAAAAAACTATTGGAGTTGGTAAGAGTTACGTTGATTGTGTGATTTATTGTCTGTATTGACCCTCAGGCATACGAGTCAGTTAATGCGTCACCGTCGTACCCACACCAACGAGCGTCCCTTTGAATGTGTCGACTGCCACCAAGCCTTCCGTCGCAAGTGCCACCTAAAGCGTCACTGGCAACGCATCCACAGTGGCGAGAAACCCTTCAAATGTGCCATCTGCGGCAAAGCCTTCAGCGACCGGGACCACCAGCGCCAACACGAGACCATCCACGGTCCCGAGACCTACCCCTGCTTCCACTGTCGCTGCGTCTTCCCATCCGAGACCTACCTGATACAGCATCTCTCCGAGAACCCAGACTGCAAGACGGCTTTCGCCCGCGATGGGGAATCCCCACCGAAACGGACCCGAGGCAAGCACAAGGGTGTGCTGACGTCCTACAAGTGTGGCCTGTGCTTCGAGCAGTTCAAGAAACTCCGGCAGATCCAGACGCACCAGCGAGTCCGGCACCACGACGTCTTCGAGAAGAAGTACAAGTGCAACCTCTGTGGGAAAGGCTTTGATCTCATCTCGGATCTGACGCACCATCGGAACAACCATGCCGTACGGAGCAAGCTGGACGTGGACAAGAATGGCGACACGGGGTACAGACCACCACCGCATCACCACCATCATCACCATCCATCATCTGCAGCGACGGCATCCAAAGTCGTCCAGAACAAGGCTGAGCTTCTACAGATGCTACAGCAGCTTGAAAAACGCATCCAGCAGCAGCAGCAACAAGTCAAGAAGATCGAGAGCCAACAGGAAGAGATGGAGAACGATGAAAGCGACGGGGAGCCAGCCAACACCGCTCCTCAGCCGCCCCCACACAGCCAAATCCGCTACATCCTAGAAACCTCTCGCACGCAGCGAGAAGGCCAATACGGGCGTATAGAATCCGAGGGCATCTATCAAAATGGTCACAACGAGCCCCGCGCCACAGCCCCAGTCTCCCCGAGATCCGAAGTTGGAGCTATGGACCTCTCTGTCACCAGAAATGCCTTAGAAGGCGGCGAGGACCACCACAATCCCCAGATGAGACCCTCCGCATCCACGGCTGACAGCATCCCTAAGCCTTCCTCTGCCTTGCTGGACCTCATGACCAACAATCGACACAAGTGCGAACAGTGTGGCATCTCCTTCCTCCTGTACTCCGAATTCCGAGCGCACCGGAAGCGACACGAGAGAGCCCGCGTCGCAATCAAGCAAGAACCGATAGATACATCCGAGTACTTGGACAGCAATCCCGACGCCGACAGGAGCTTGTGCCGCGACTGCTGCAACCAGAACGACCCTACCAGCTCTTCCCTGTCTCCTAGCAGGAGCCCGAGTCGATCCCATGTCAGTAACTCCTCAAGGTGCTTCCATCATCAACAGCGTAACACAGCAGCCAAGATGCAAGAAGTCAACGGTCAAGAGCTGCGATATCCTCGAACCAGAAGCAGATCAAGGTACAGAGACTAAAGATGGGACATAATTACGGGTCTATCAAGAGAAGTGGATTCAGCTGCTTCCGTAGACGCATGTGTAATTGCAAGCTGTATCCAAGTAATTCAAAGATGGCCTTAGTTGCCTAGCAGACTTAGTTCCAGTTTGGATTGTTAAATGTAAAATCTGTTTTGAAAGTTCACATGTTCAAATCCCGCACTAGTCAATCTCTGTTTAACCTAAAATTGACTTGATTTTTGGATTTTTTTTTCGAAGAATCTTTACATTGTAGTTTCATTATCTAGTTAAATTCACTGCTTACATTGATGAAAAATTAAATTCCTAAAGTGAAAGAAAATTGACCACTGTGTCTTCAAGATCAACTCTTCTAAGTTAAAAAATATCTGAGTGTAGTACAGGCAGTGCGTGTTAATCACTTCTATACCCTCATAGTGATAGAGATGTACATAGACTCGTCCATTTCTTCTGCCACTAAATCACTTATGTTTACACTTGTTTCAGGTCTTGTGACATGATGACTTTGACAGATCAAATCAACGACCAAGAGAACAAAACGCAGCCTCCTCCAGCGCCCAGCTACGACAGGGTCCTGTCCTGTGAACAGTGCCTGCTGCTCAAGAAACAACTTGTCAAGGTTTGTAGCCAAGACCACAGCTTCTTTCCACATCTTGTTTGATAAGTGAAAAATGTTTTTGCCCCCACAAATATTAAAAACATTTGGGACATACTTAGCCCATTCTCTGGCATTATGGGATAATCCTATACAAGAGCACTGCCCAGCCCTGCCCCACAAGTGATAGTCAGTCAGTGGGTCAGTCATTCAGTGAGATAAAGGATACAAGGAGGACCATAGGCTAACCTCTGGTACCAACAAAATTCGCGTGTGACCAGAAAAGCAATATCATTTTAAGCCCAAACTGTTTCATGATTTATTTCCAGGAACGTAATGACAAGAAGGCTATGAGGATAGAGATCGAGCGACTCCGCGAGGCGCTTGTCAGTTTTGCCGAGGCAGCGGCCAATCACGCGTCGCCGCTGCGGAGCAGCAGCGAGCTGATGGCTCTCTTCAGCAAGCACGTGGAGCGAAGCGTGGACGAGAGGGAAATTGTATGATGAGAGAGATTGAGGCTTCCACAAAAACCAAATTTGAGTAGAAAAGTTTTAAAATAATTCCAGAGGGACAGTACATGTATACCTGTTGGTGATTCCAAAAAGAGGAAAAAATAACCTTGTTCTGAAAATATTTCCGACAAATTGCATCAATTGTGATGGGTAAATTGCATCATAGAATTTAGGAAATTTGGCAGAATTCAGCAGTATTTTGCAAGAAATGAAAAATGGGGAATTCAACATTGCTTGTTGAAGAACCATCCATGCCATGATTTTTTACAGTAGTTGTTTTATACCAAATAGGTGAGCGGTATATGGTTGCTAAGGACGGCCGCCATTTTGAGCAGTGCATGATGGGATAGGTGCAAGATTATCTCTTGTCAAATACACTTTTATATATATTGCCTAAATTGCAAGTATGTATTAAGAAAATATACTATAGATAGTTGCTATATAAAGTGGTACAGTTTTTTTAAGAAAAATTCCAGATGGATTTTTTTTCCATTATTTAGTACTGATATAAAAAAAATGTTGACAGAAATATTTTTGAAATACAAAGAGATTTTGTAAAAAAAAATTAAATATAAATATGTTGCATTTAGTTAGTAAGTATATGACTAACATGCATACTCTAGTATAAAAATGCAATTTTGTTTTCGTTTTTTTTTGTAAAGTAGTGTTTTTGATTAGGTGCCAAGTCTTTAAAAGGTTAAATAATATTTACCAAAGAAGAAAAAGGAGCTATGAGGTTGTCAAAATGCCATCATATTTGTGCTTTTGTTTAAGAAAAGTTGGGAAGTTGTTCTTTAGCAGAACCTTCATCTTAACCACTTTGCGCCAGGACCATTTTGACATTGACTGGACCCAAGTGTGGGATTATTTTTCACACACCTCGATGCTAGACGGGTTCAGGCCGTCATCTGCAGGTAGCACACCCTGATATTTCTGGCCTCGCTCACTGCGAGTGGGCCGCAGACAGCTTTTTTTGGCCTGGCTCGTTGCGTGTTTATCCGTCATCCATTTTGAATATCGCAAAACCTTTGTGTGTGTACACGTCATCCAACCCGAACTGGTTAAGGTTAAATAATGGCCTACAATGTACCACATTGACATTTGAGGTCATGAAGAGTTGTATTTCAATTTATTTGAGATGAAAAGAAAAGCCAGTAATAATTTTGGCGGACAAAAAAGTTTCAAAAAGTGACCACAAAAAAAAGTAGGCAATACACATTTAAACAAATAATAATTGTGATAAATGTTTTTGTGATTTTTTTCCCAGTTTTATGGTCTGATCAAAGATTGAGTCAGGTTGCAGCATTGGTTCTTAAGAAGTCAAGAAAAATTTGAGAAAAACAAGTATGAAACAATGTGATCTTCGTAGCTATCCAACCACAAATGTCACACTGCTTTTTTGAACAGAATGCCCTACATGAAGTACCCACAATGCAATGCAGCATTTCTTGTCTTTGCCCACTTCCAATCTATCAGACTTAAAAAAAAAATTGTTTTTGTTGTTGTTGCAAATTTATCTCTATAATTGTATAAACATTAATTACAACAGACCTTAATTATTTCTTGGCAGATATTTTTTATGTAGTCCAGTACTTTTAACCTTTAGTAATCATTTTGTTTACTGTCATTTCTTTATAAAAAATATCTAGACTGAATTGTGTATATCACCATGCCATTAGTATGTCATTGCTACAGTACTTCTTATGGTAGTTAAAGTTGACATTTTGAGAACAAGTTGCAAAAACAGACCACCAAGATCAAAGAAATGTTGTGCTTGATTCGTAACCGAGGGAAGATTTTTCTCTGGAAATTTGAAATGGAGATTGTGAGCTTGAGGACACTTATTTCATGAAAGGTTCTACATGAAGTTGGGGTTTGTTTATTTATTTTTGTTGTAAGATAAGAATGAGAAATAGTGAGGGATATTAGAGAGTTTTTGGAGGGTTTGAGTAGAATTCTGAAATAAGGCTGTGTACATAGATACCAGAAAACCTCTTGTAAATGAAACAGAAAATGTCACACTTATTAAGAAAAGAGAGCAAGGCAAGTATCGTCAACTGTTGACAATATCAGTAACTAGGGGCGGAGATGCAGAAGGCCCCGCCTGTTCTGTCTGAATTTACAATTGCGGTCAACAACTATGTACAGGATTAGAAAAAAGGGGTGGGGTCACTAAAGGCCACACCTTCTTTATGTCAGTATTTTAATACAATTGCTAAGGGCAGGGCATGGAAGGCCACACCTCATTTGTTCTGTCAGAATTTACAATTGCTGTCAATAACTATGTACATTATCAGAAACTAGGGGCGGGGTCACTGAAGGCCACACCTCCTTAAAGTCAGTACTTATACAATTGCTGTCAACAACTGTGTGCATGATCAGAAACTAGGGGCGGAGTCACGAGTGGTCCCGTCTCTTTGTTATATCTGTGTTCACATTTGCTGTCAATAGCTATGCACATGATTAGAAACTAGGGCGGAGTCACTGTGTACAAGATCAATATTCATGTATGTGGGCGGAGTCACAGAAAGTCCTGCCTCCCTCGTTCTGTCAGTATTTACAATTTTTGTCAGCAACTGTATATAAGATTTGAAACTTGGGGTGAAGTCACAGTGTTCACAGCAGTAGCTGTCACTTTGAAATCTGTGCTTAGATTGCATTGCATGTGCCTCCCTTTTTGTTGACCACATGCCCCGCCCCTTTCTTCTGTCACTCTTGGTAGCTTTTGCTTCAAGTTCTTATTGTCTATTGCTGAGGGCAAGTAAACTAAAACAAATCCCCATTTCTTAATTTATTTTTTGGTGAATTTTTGGAGAAACTTACAGGTACTTCGATAAAATGTGGGTCACTTTAATGTTCACTCATACTCGTTTCTACTGAATGGTGCATTTTCTGGGTCTTGTTATTTTTTTGTATGGAGCCTTTATTATTTAATTGAAATAGCCATGTGTAGGTATTACTATAAAGATATAATGAACTGTACATAGACAAATTTATATTGCAAAAGTACACGTAGTGAGATGTTTTAAATACGTTTGAAATGAAATGTTATCTGTAGATTTATTCACTTCTTGTTTTTTTTTCTTTGTTGTGTTATTTTTTATATGAAACATGGCCTATTCCATGTATTATAAGAATAATAAGTTGTTTGATAATTTTTTTTTTTACAATATTGTTTTACATCTTCACGGATTATGATGAGAATATAGTGCTAATTTATGTAAAATCTTTATTAGAATTGGCCAACTCTTTTCGTTGACATTGCCCTTCAAAAGGCACGCCTTTAGTAAATGCAATACTTTTAAGATGCTTCTGTTGCCATAGATACAGCCAGTAATTGTGCATCCTTCTACAATCTTTCTGAAATTTAGTTGTGATTTTCTTTTTCGTTTATTAAGTTTGTTAGGGGGAAAAGGGCAGTTTGTCTCCATTGTTTAGGGGAGTAGATAAAAGCACACTCCCAAATGAATGATAAGCAAATTTATGAGTTAAGCCAAAATGAGCTGGGAACCAGTCATGTGTAATAAACACATGTTTTTCGTATAGCAGTTCGGCTGGTAACCGGTTTTGCTAAGCAATTCTTATCTGTGCTTACAGAATTGCTGTAATGGACAGCTTATCGAAATTGGCCTTTATTGGAGTTGAACAAAATCAGAACAGTTCGAAGAAAAAAGTGAACATTTGTGATGCGATCAAGCCAAAGGAGTCGTTTGTCGACCCTGGTCAATTTTTTTTTACAGTTTTGAAAAGGGCACAATCTCAGCATTACTGCTGTGAAAACCGCATGCTGATACCATCTTTAGTTCGAAAATTATGGAAGTCGGAACACGTACCAAGAGATGTGATGAAGTGGCCCAATTTTTGGCGTAAATCTCCAAATGAAAGACTCGTTTAGCTTGATCGCATCACATTTGCTTCTTTGAAATTGATAAAATTGTCCACCATGTTGAATTTAATTCCTTCATATATTATGTTTAATTAGCCATTCTTTTCAAAATTCAAATTTTGTGATGTTCAGTCCCCCCCCCCCTCTTTTCTCTCTAAATGTTTAAAATAGTTGTAGATCTCGAGAGAACAAATGCAATAATTTTGTCCCCATTTCGACGGCGAGTTTGTTTAGGTGATGATTGACCAAAGTTTTGACCCACCAAATCAGTTTACATGTGACTGGAGGTAAAAACTGTTTTGATGTGTAGCTTGCCACATTTACACATAAACCTGCAGATTGTGCATATCACGTCCCAACTATTTCAATAAACCATTATCGTGTTGCGTCCATCTTGATTTTTTCCCATTCAAATCAATGTAACCAAAGCGAGGCTGGGAGGAAAAATAGTCTGGTTCCCTTTTGCACAACACAACATTAGCATTCTGAACTGTTATTGGATACAGGGAACATGACTGAAATGGTGGCAGCATAATGAAGGTCTATGGCCCGAACTGTAGTCAGGATAGTCCCAACTTCACTTGTTGGGCCAATGATATAGATTGGGCCCAACGTGCACTTTGTTGTACCTTTTTTCTTTAATTTGAATTCACCATTGCAATTTGCAATGACACTTGGATTCTTGAAACAATATCAACTCTCACCCCAAATTCAGTGTGTTGTTATTTCTATTATATAACCATTCCGATTTGCAGTTCCATGTGCCATTCCATTGTTCTAAGTTTCCTTGTTCTACCCCTACCAACTATCTATGTTAGTTACAGTAGTATGATAATTGCTTAGCCAAAGAAATATTATAACATCCTATTTCTTACTTTTAGCAATCATTTTGATAAGTTTTTATATACATTATTTTCAATCAATTATATCTATAGAAATCGAGGTACTCTTTTTTTTTGTACTGGAAAAGTTATTTATGTACTGTAATAGTTACTCGATAAAGATTATGTTAAAGTTAATGACTTGCTGACTGGTACTTTGTACGCTGGTGCCCAGGCGAAATGCACAAGTCAGCCTTATAGCCATTGTAATAATGTACTACTATCAATGAGTTTAGCTTTGATTATTTTAAGGTTGTTCCAAGGACAATAAAAAAGAGATTAAGAATTAGCATATCAATGTACACTGTAAGTATTACTTTGCATAAAAAAGGTGGTTGTGTGAGAAATATAAGGGTGCTAATAGTAGAAAATGCAGTATTGTGCTTAAAGTGACGACTCATAATTGCGAGGCATTGTGTGTGTGACCCAGAAACACTGACCAATAGCCTCTGATTGTAGTTTCCACACGCTATGTGTGGGCAATTTTATAAAGTTTCTGCTTTTCAAGTTTTCATGGTATGCTTTTTATAATTATAAGAACATATTTTGGGCTTAGAATTGAAGGAATAGTGCATTAGAATCAGTGACCATGGTTGCCCAAAACAAACGGCACAAACTACTCTTTGTTGGAAGATTTTTCAAAAAGGGGAACAGTCGGCCATGAAGTAAAAAAAGTGAGTGTAGATGTTAAAAAGGGGCTTTCCCCGTAGTACTTGTTCAAATAACGGCTAATTGAAAATTTGGAATAGGAAATTTGAAGGCCGTCCCAGATTTTGAACTTCTCTGCAGTTTTTAATCATTTATTAAATATCAGAAATTGCAACATGAGACAAAGATAATTGATCATCGGGAAAGGTTGCATGTCTATCCACATGTGGGGAACAATCATTGCAAGATCAAACTAATATTTGTAACTTTTAAATTAACTAAAGTTGTATTCCATAGCAGGTGCCGAGCAGGCTGTTGTGAGGAGCAAATACTAGGAGCTGGAGCTTGAGAACACAGTAAGTCACGTTCTTTTAGGCATTTATGAATAAGCCATTTGCAAATTAAATTTGAGTAATATTTGGTGCCCTGACTTGCTCGAATGCTTGGCACATTTTAACTTTGAATTCTCCAGACCAAAGAGACCGTTGCTATATCATGTGATTTGGGGCAAGCCTTATGCTAGCAACCCCCAGCTCTGGAATGGTCTGGTGTCTTTGTGCCATTCTCACCCATTGTGAACAATGTATTGATGCTGAGCCTCACGTGCGTATTTATGCAAGAGCTTGCTCCGAATCATGTGATTAGCAACAATATCTTTGGTCTGGAGAATTTGAAGTTAAAATAACTTATTTTTTAAATAAATGTAAATTTGATGACCCAGATTATGTGACTCGACAAAAGGTTTTGCATACAAAAGGAGACAATGCATACAATACACATAATAGTGTCCTCATTTATTCATAAATAGTCCGATGCCCATTCAGCTTATGTACAGTAAAGGCTACTTAACGACAAGGATCTCAGATTACACTGCATAAGTATTCGGGCTCAATGTGATTCAGTGTTTTCAGCAGAAGAGAAAGGTTTCACTGGCTGACACAGTGTCCGAAAGACCGCTTGAAATAATAATAATAATCGGCATTTAAGAACGCCCTTTTTAGTAAACTAAATTACGGCGCTTACAGTATTATTACCCCTGATCATTGGGCCAATTAAACATTCCAAATACCATCTCAGCTCCCTGGGGAGTATACAGCTCAATGCTGCCTGTTAGGCGCAAGCAAGCTAAATCAATCACATAACCATCTCTGCCCTCACAGGTACCCATTTACTCCTGGGTGGAGAGAGGCAATGAGTGACAAAGTGCCTTGCCCAAGGGCACACGCACCATGACCCCAGGCTGGACTCGAACCCACAACCTGCAGCTTTACCCACAGACCACGAATCAGTGCCCTTAACCACGAGGCCACAGCACTCCACGAATGAAACATTAAAGGACAAAGTCTACAATAATACAAAAGATAAAAAAAGGTAAAGTAAACAGGCACATTTAGTGGGAAAAACAAAACAAAATAAAGAGTAATACAAACTTGAAGATAAATATATTTAATTACATACAAATTATTCTACAAACAGTTTATCAGTTTAATATTTTTAACTTTGTTGTTTGAAAACTCCCAGTGTTGCCCACCTCAAGAAAAATAATATTATGCTTCAAGGAAAACTACAATTTTGACAATGGAAAAAGCAAATTGCCAAAAAGTTTGACTTGAAATCGGAAAACGACCACCAAAAATAGAATATTTCTGTAAAAGAAAAAACATGAAAAATCTCTTTGTAAATGTAAATAGTAAATTGGACATGACTATTTTTTACCAATAGATGGCAGCAAACCGATCACCATCATCTTTTTAAGCACAAAATTAAATCTAAATCCCACATTCCTTGATTGTGAAAAAGTATTTTTTTTATTTTCCATATATAAAGGCATCTTTTTTACAACTTTGACTTCATGTCAACATTCTTGACAGTAAAGAAAAAAAAGGGCATTCCCACAGAAACATGTGCTCAACAACATTTCTGGTCAGGCGAGCATTTCAACGCTGAATTCAAGATGAAATTACTGCATCTTCTACACCAATAGCTTAACCTTACCCTATTTTCCCAAATGATCCACTTTTTTCACGGCATTCTACCTTCCTCCTTAAAAAAATGTCCCCCTCAACCTATCCGCTCTGGTTTAACAGAAAAACTGGCATCATTCGAGACATGTTAGATTTCTGAATTCATTGCTCACTTTTCAGTTTTTATGATAGCTGCTTTTCCCCAACTACTAGCAAGTTCTAAAATACAGCTGCAAGATTCTCCTAACAAAAATGCTTTAAAATGTCCATGTACATGTATTCAGCTTCCAAAGAAATGCAGTTTTGCTCGTCCCAGAGAAGGCAAGACTTTAGTCTTCTTTGTGTCTGACTGACTGTCACTTGTGACAGCCTGGTATTGGCTGGTGAAGAGAACCGGGCAGTGCTGTTGTATAGGATTACCCCATAACAGGCTAAGTCTAGCCCACTGTGAACACCAGATGCATGAAAAGACTTCCAGTGATCAGCCATTCTGATTCATTTGAATGGAATCTCTGTGCTTTTGGACTAGCTTTTACTGCCTGGCCTTTTTGTTTCAGTTGCTTGTTCCGCTTCACTGGTTCTGGTTTTGGTTGTCACCTTGTCCGTCCTGGGGTCTGTCGCCCGGTGCGTCCTCCGGTCTGGCGCCCTCCCCACCCCAGTCAAACCCCCCTGGCCTCTCCTCCTCCGGTAAGGGGTTGTAGTTTGGATCTTCTGGGTTTGAATCGAAGATCATTTTCCTGCCACAGATATCAACCAAAATTTGAATACATTTCAGGCAATCGAAACATTGAGGATGGTAGAGAAATAATCAGATAATTCGCTGAAGCATTTTATGTGCAATTTTCAAATCTTCATTTGTAACTTGGCAGTGATACGTGATTTTAGGAGACACACTAACCCATAGCCAAGTAAACAAACTTTCATCAATGTAAATTATCAACAAATGTAAAAATATTTACTTACAAAATTCCCGGTGTTCTGAGGATTTTGAAGCCGCCTTGTTGCTGGGGGAAAACATCTTCAAGGAAGAAGTAAACATGACCAACAGCAATGCCTGGGAGGAGTACGAATAAAACGAGAAATGGAATTTTGAAAACAAGACACTTTAATTCCCAACATTTCTATTTAAATTTCATTTTTTTTAATTTTAAATTCTACCTCCTGTAATTGATGCAATAACCCTGATTAGCATTTTTGCTAGGATGCAACCTAAATCCTACAAAATCCTCCAAGTGCCTCAATATAAAAATTGCTAATACAGCCTCAATCCTCCAAAATCTTCCGTTATTTCTTGAATGTGGTTCGTGGAGGGGTGACCACTGCCTCAATCCTGCAAAACCCTCCAGAACACAATATGTTGAGGCAGAGCTAGTGACATCTAGTGAGCAGTGCGGAGGATTTCAAGTATAATCTAGGCCTAAATTTATGAACGGCTGAGCATAAACAACACAAGGTCCGACCCAAGACCTTGACACAGTGCATCCTCCAGAATCAGCCACAAATTCTTGCCACACCGCATCAATCCTGCAAAATCCTCCATTTTGCAAAGAGGATTTTGGAGGATTTGGGATGGTAAGGGTTATTTTTATTCTTCATATGCAGAAAATGACATAGCCTGTGGACATAATTCAGACATGTCATTGTGCAGCAAGGGCTGTGATTGGCCAAATCATCAAAGGAGGCGGGCTTAACAGATCCGTCTACTTACCGATGAAGTCGACAATGATGGAGTTCCCTAGTAGCAGGGAGAAACCAAGCAGCACCCAGGGTAGATGAGGGGCCTGGAAATTCATCAGGCCCAGGAAGTTCATGCGGACGTAAGGGTTCCTACGACTCCAGACATACACCAGCATTATCGTAAACGCTTGGCCAAGAAACACCAGGTTGACAAAGAAGGAAATAATCTAGAAATAATCCAGTTAAGGAGAATGAGATAATAAAACTAAAAACAAAGTCTTAAAGGGCCCATACAAAATGATTTTTTTAAAATGCAATCCTTGAAAATCCACCTTTATGTCCTATACCTTAATTTTCGGTGTTTTAAGCTAATGAAAATTTACATACTCGTACGTGAGCAAAAGTGTGATGTCATTTCAGTCAGAAACCTCAATGGTGCAGCTATTTCAGCAACAAAAGTTGCCAAAATTTTGGCTATTTTGCTGTCATTGATTTTCTGTTTTTGGTGATTCGTCATTGTGTCAGTACATGGCAGTAAGCCAATGGGCAAACCTTTCTCAAAACTGTTTTCAATGAGCACATTTTTGGGTTCACAATTTGAACAGAAAACCCCTAAACTGAACAGTGTCTTCCGGAAATGGCATCACAGCAACAGCGCCCTCTGTTGTCCGGAAAAGCATGGACATTATTTAAATGTTTAAAGAAGAGCCTTTTTGAATAAAATTAACTAAATGGGATTTCAAATAGTTTTCACACATGAGTAGAAAGTTGCACAAAATATGCTCCGTAGAAAAATTCTAGTCATAGCCTTTTAAGGACACTTTTATCTAAAGAGTTTTGTGGGCGATGCAACCAACTTTTATGCTAAGCTTTCCTTGTCTTTTTTATTTTTTAAGGATACAGTCATGATCAGACCCCCTAAGAAGAACATGAAGAAGAAATCTGCCGTGCGACCCCTGAACGACCCCTCCTCCAGCATGCGACAGTAGCGATACGTGAAGATCATGTTGAATAAAAAGTTGAAGCCAATCGGTCCGAAGAAGAGGAAATTGGTGACCAGTCTCCAAACCTGTAAGAGAAATTGAAGAACATTTTAACCAAATTCCCATATTTTTTGCGGGTAACAGATAAGGGGCAGCTCAGTAGTCTCTTTTTACCTCACTGACGGATTCACTGACTGACGTCCATTGAGAGTTGGGCAGTGATATCGTATAGGATTGCCCCATAACACAATGGGCTCTATCCGGCCATTGTGCAGATCAGGGGCCAATTTCATAGAGCTGCTTAAGCACAAAATTTGCTTGAGCACAAAAACGTCTTGCTTAATAAAATCATGTTACCGGCCAAAACTCCATGCGATTGCTATGCTAAGTTAACAACAGCTAAATACCAGTCACAAGCTATGTACATCACGTGGAGTTTTGGCCGGTAATCTAATTTTACTAAGCAATGTTTTTTCGTGCTTAAGCAAATTTTGTGCTTAAGCAGCTCTATGAAATTGGGCCCTGACTGATGTATGAAAAGATTTCCAGTGAATAGCCATTCTAAATCCTTTTTTTTTTTTTACTCAAATGTATGGGAAATTTCACCTACTTCTAAGTTTACTTTTGGTAACCACAACTTCGTTTTCATACCTACAAAAATGCATCCACACTAACCCTAACTCCCTAGGCTTTTTTGCTAGGATGTAGCCTCAATCCTGCAAAATCCTCCAATTGGCCTCGTGGAAAAATAGCATATAGCCTCAATCCTGCAAATTCCTCCGTTATTTCTTGAATATGGTCCATGGAGGGATGACCACTGCCTGAATCCTGCAAAATCCTCCAGCTATGTCTGTCAATAGGCTGAGGCAGAGGCAGTGACATTCTGGAGCAGTGCGGAGGATGTCAAGTATAATCAAGGACTAAATTTGTGCACGGCTGAGCATAAACAACACAAGGTCCAGCCCAAGACCTTGACGCAGTGCGTCCTCCGAAATCAGCAACGCACTTTTGCCATGTAACCTCAATCCTGCAAAATCCTCCAATTTGCAAAAAGGATTTTGGAGGATTCAGGGCGGTTTGGGCTAATGAAATATGCACTAACATACAACACTGCTTTCAATGACTGTTTTGGACCGGTTTTGCCTTTTCTTATATGTTTATTGTGTTTATGTCTCGAGTCTTTTATTGTAAGGTTAATGGGAGTCTGAGTATGACTCTGTATCAATCTTGAGTTTAACACTTGAGTTTTGAGTCTTCCAAAACTCACTTGCTCATCACAAGTCTGTTCAGTCAATGGAACATACAACTCACCTGATAATGGTTGAATATGAGATCTGGGTTGAAGTACAGCTGAAATGGTGTGATGATGTCCAGTTGCTATTAAGAATAAAAAAATAAGTAAAAATTTCTCAACGATGATGTCTAAAGGTAAGCCATTAAGACGTACAGTGTGGTTAAAAGTAATAAGTAGGGTACTTACTTTACTTCCTGGATCTATGTAATTTGGCATATTTGTGCTCGGAACAAAATGTGGACCTGATCAAGCCCCATTTAGAGTAAGTATCAGTGGCTGGGCTGTATATTGCTGAATCCATCAAAACCCACCAAAATCAGGCATTGGATTTTGAATGGCTAAAGGTAGTTACATGGTTTAATAACTGATGGTTGGATTTTAATTTCTAAGGCTCACGGATTACCCCTAACCCTCCCAGATTTTTCAAAATCGATCAGGAGGTTTTGGAGGATTTTGTAGGACTGAGGAAGGTAGAGCCTAGCCAATATTACTTTACAATGTGAAAACAATAGCACACTCTTTGTACCTACCAGGTTTCAAGGGGCATCAAGCCCTGTGTAAAAGTAATAGTGGCTTGGCTCTAACTTCCTTAATTTGACAAAATCCTCCAAAATCTCCTGGTGGATTTTGGAGGATTTTGGAGGGTTAGGGTTGAAATAATTGATCTGAGAAGATTAAGGTTTTTTTGGAAGTACACTGACCACAGCTAGTGTAGTCAGCACACATGATGTGCAGTAGGCCCTGGTGATCGCTGGTGTTTGCAGGTACTCCTGTTGAAAAGTCTGATACGCCATCTTGGAGATCAGCACGACTTTCGTGACTACCGTGACTGTTTAGAACCTGTGTGTATTATTTCCTGTAAACAAACACACACAACTATAATTAAAATGTAGTATTAAAATTAAAAAACAACTTTGTGGATTGTGTACATTTTTTTGCATTGTGTGTGTAGGGTGAGATTATGAAAAGCAAGACTTGCCTAAATTTGGAAAGTGAATGTTTCAGTGCTCATGGTAGGCCTACTAAGCCATTTGAGTTTAACTCAGATAAACTCTTATTTTCCCATTGTTTAAAATGGCATGAATTCCTGATTAAATGGCATGAATTCCTTGGGCGAGATCGGTTATTACTAGCGCTATCACCCAATTGCGCAGACATGGCAGACATGTATTTGTGCGATCGGGCAATCCTGAATCTCAGAGTTTAGCCATCCTGAAAAAAACCTCCAGCTCCAGCGCTGTGAATTTGAAAAAAAAGGTGGTCGACTAATGGCAGCAAAATCGACTAATGGTGGCGTGATCGGCCAATAGCATAGATCCAGTCGAAAAAAATACACAGCTAAAAAAAGTACAAATTTCATGTTAACGAAAAAGAAATCCTGAATTAGGCTCTATGCCTCTTTTATTTAGTAAATCATACTTAAGACAATCCATGAAGATGTTGTTATGCCTCAACTGCATAGCGACATTTCTAATTCCCAAATCTTCAGCCAACACCCCCCACTGAACCAAGGCAAGCCACGCCTCCTCCGCCGGGTTTCCTGATCATGCCGATCGGCATGATCGGCGCGCTTCGTCCCAAATTCCCCCTCATCATTTGATCTGACAGTCATGAAAGTCAACACCACTCACCTCAGTTCCACGTCGACATATGTCTTCTTCGTTTAGCCTATTTCACAGACATCTACATCACTGTTTACCACTAAAAAAGGACGAAATCAACCACACAACGATACGATTACGTGTACTTACTTTGCGATAGCAAGATTTTATTTGAGTCTGGTGCACCGGTGTTCATACCATAGCGATATGTCTATGACGAAATGGGAGCCTGACGAGACGAACGTAGTCTTCTTCACAAGTACCGAAACAAACGTGGTCGAATGATGTTGTAGCACGTGTACGAGACTACTCGCAAAATAATATAATGAAGTCACAAGAAGGTCAGTGCGCATGGCTCTTCGTACGTTTGTGCAACAACACCGTGCCTGGTTTCCGCCTCGGCTTTTTTTTTAAGCATGGGCGAAATGCATGCTTTGCGATGTCGTTGGCCAAACTCAGCTTTCAACCACGCAAATTTCAGCTGTAAACGCAAATTGGACGCGCGTTGTCATTATTTCCCTCAAGTTTTGAGGCCAATTTTTGGCTGTAAAATGGTGTCCACATTGTCAGGAATTACAGTCCCGAATGGGTTTGACCCAGCCTTTGAGTATGAATTCAGTGACGGTGAAGACAGCAAGGATATCTACCAAGAACAGGAGTCTGACGAAGGTGGTTTTTTCTCTCGAAAATATTCATTCATTGCCTTTTTGCATTGAGTTGCATTGCATTACATTTCCATTGCATTATTTGCACAATGTTGAACATCCACAGAAATGGATACAGATATTTGGTCCCTTTCCCCCGTTTTAACTTGTATGTATTTAACTTTCCGTACTAGTTTAAATTAACGTACCTTCATTGTTTGTGATACAGGAAACTTTTAAACATGAAAGTGTAATAATTAACTTGTTGATAGAATTGTAAAAAAAAAAAATCTGTTTTTGTTGTGATGCACATGCGTGGTGGTGTTCCCTAACGTCGTGGCGCACTTCGAGTTCAACGTTTACTCGACTTTCCTCATATAGTGTTGCCAAACCTCTTTGTTGACAAACCTCAAATTCATGCAGTGAAATACTGGTACTTTGACCTTATTAATGCTTGCTATTTAATCTCTGGCTCTGTGAACAATTTCCGTTTCATGAAATTTAATCCGAAATTCAGAAACAGTGGCGTCCGGAAATTGGGCACAAAATCAGCCTAGTCCCATAAATGTGACGGTAATACTGGACTACCTCCGTATTTACCACATGTGGTAAATTGGACGGAGAGTCCGTTGCTAAGGAGTAAGGGAGCCGAAAATCCATTTAAAAGTGCAATTATTTTGTCACTTTATACCCACACAATGCCGTCTACTACTGCTTAATATCAACAAAACGTTAAATTCGGCACCTTCAGAGGTCTAGTTATCTTGTAATTTCGAGTTGAATTCGGACGACTTTTACAGCCATTGTTCAGGTAAGCGTCGTGTTGCATGACGTCATGGGTTGTGATAAATCGCGCCCTCACTAGCTTGCATCAAATTTTGACAATGCGCATTTGTACGGCTGTTGCCTGTCATTCAGTTTTTGTCAAAAGTGTGCCCGCATACATGCTGGTTTTCGATATATCCAGTTTCCAAAATCAAAAGTGAATATTGGAATTCAAACCAAATAAAAAAAAAATAATAAAAGGGTTGTAAACCCCATCACTGTTTTTTTATGGCATAATAGGTCAGCCTCTTAATTTTGATATGCAAGCATTTTCGAAAAGAAAGTTGCGTCCTGACGCCACTTTGTTCGTCATATATTATCGCAACAAAGGTTCGTCATTGCAAAATGTTGAAAAGACATGAATCTTGGACTGACAAGCATTTCCAATACTTTGAAAATGCACTGGACTCTGCATTTGTACACAACCAAAACGTGGCGTCTGGATACTACATGTACATTCTTTCGGCATTTTCATTCCTAATGCAGGTTTTCAAGAACTACAATCCAAAGGTTCTAATTTAGAGATTTTTTTTATTGCAGACACTGAAGATGCCAGTGAGACTGACGCAGCCAAACTGGAAGAAGAATTCACTGAAATGAAAGAACAGTAAGATGAAAAGAACTTCATTAATCCCCAGAATTATACAAAATTTGTACAGTGTTGGGCCGAGTCAAAAAATAAAACAGCTCTTTTTTTCACAGTTGCCTTCATGTAAAACTTGCATACTTCCTCAATCCTGCAAAATCCTCTGTTATTTCTGGAGTGTTAATTGGAGAGGTGACCACTGCCTCAATCCTGCAAAATCCTCCATTTTGCCAAGAGAAGTTTGAAGGATTTGGGAAGGTTAGGGTTCATGATAATGAACAAGTTGTGTACACGTTTCTCACTGATTTCTCCCCATGATTATCCAATTTTTTTCAGAATGTACAAGGAAAAGTTAGCCTCCTTAAAGAAGCAACTTAATAGTCTTACTGACGGATCGCATGCCGAACTAAATCGGAAACTCAAGAAGTTGGAGCAGGTTCACAAGGAGCGACTGCGGATGGCAGAGGTTGCAAGATGCTGTGAGGTGCAAACATTAAATTGTCTTCAAACCCTCCAAGTCTTTAACACATATTCAATTTTTCTGTCCACACTTTTGCTCATAAATTTTTTTTTTTATTAAAAGCTGTATCCTCTCTGAGTGATCTCTATTTCCCAGGTTTGCAGTAAATGTTGCTTGCAATATGATTTTGAGCGTGATCCCCGACTACATGGCATACAGGTTTATGGCTTCTGACTAGCGCCCTAGAACAAAGACATTGACACTTAACCCTTACTCTCTGAGGGTAGTTTACTGCATGTCAGTTGGTTATGCCAATGCCCTCCAGCTGCAGTTTATCGGAGGATACTTTGATGTAGCAGTGAAGGCTCCAATTGGCAGGAGTTGGAGGCCCTGGAGGGTGCCTGATACTGACCAGCTGGGGGCACTTGATTGTTATCAGAGGACTCTCATTGTTCTCTGTGGCATGTATTGGAGTGCCTGTCCAGTTACCCTTGAAATGACATGGCAGATATTGGAGGGCCATGCAAAAAACATAGGAGATTTTCTTGAGGCACATATTGGCATGCGTTGGAGGGTCTAGTAGGGTAAGGGTTAAAGAGGAACTGCAAACATTGAGCTGGATAGCTCAGTTGGTAGGGTATCGGAACGGCACTCCGGAGGTCACAGGTTCAAACCCTGCTCCAGTCAATTTCTTTGTACAATTTTAAAATAATTTTGAATTGATTGCATGGGCAAATGTATTACATGATTTGACTCCTTGGATCTTCCTTGTCCTTCCCTGTCTGTCAAATTGAACAAAACCATCCCGGTCAAATCAATCAAGTGACTGTTATGTTATTAAGAGTTAGGAATCATATGCCTACGTAAAGGAGGATTGACTGGCTGGGACTGTTCATGCAACTTGATACAGATGTGCTTCAAACTAGGACTCTTGGATCATTTCTCTGAGTCATTAATTAGGTATCCTAGTTAATTGGCTCCGTCACTTCTTTGAATCAGAACGCTGGGATTGCCCTGAAAATAAATATATGTGACCGAATGAATTTTTTAACCATGGACAAATATATCACATTTCAAATACATACATGTATGTAATTACGTTGATGCTGAAATGTTGTCAGATCAACGGATATACAAGTTTTAATTTTTGTTTTGCTTTTGTCTTTGTTTGACAGATTGAGGCTGTTGAGCGTGAATATATCAGAGAAAAGAAGAATGCAAGGGACGATCTTGAGGTAAGGCCATGTTGGATTGGCTCTGCTGAATATAACAACTATCCAAAGATTCGATCATGCAACAAATAGCTGAAAAGTCAAGTGGCATTTTACCAATATCCGAATAGTATTTTACCAAATTGAGACCCCAAGGGAAATAAGCTGCAATCAGCTCCTTGGGCTATCCCAGAGGAGATCAACTGTTCTTTGTTTGCTAATATTTTGTACTGTTATATTTTGTACATAATATTGTGTGTAGTATACATTGTTGTTGTGTAAAATATAATTGAATTGAGTCGAAAAGAATGTGATCAGTCTGGAAAAGATGAAGAAAAATGCCCTTGATGTAATGTTAGTTGTATAAGTTTAGAGAGGTTTTATTGTTTGTCAAATGCCACATTTTTTTTGCTCATCCACTTTTGCATGATTTTAGAGCTTTTGTGGCAAATATTAGCCATAATTTGCATCTTTAGAATATGTCAATAACATCAATTCAGCTATCTCGAAAAAAACCCACATGTTGCCCCAACTCCATCAAAATCCCCCCCCCCCATCCCCCCCCCCCCCCCCCCCCCCCCCAGTTTGGTGGATTTTGGTGGACTTGGTCCTGCAGGCCTGGTTTGACTAAATATTGATTGAGAATGAAGGACTTGGGCCTGGAGGCCTAAAGCAAAGCATGCATTGGAAGCAGTGTGATTAGTGGATTTTGGCGGACTAGGTCCAGTACTTAGTAAAAGACAGAAGGGAGTTGGGGTTAATGTTGAAAAACTTTCAACTTTCACTGTTCCTTGCCCAAAGCTGTCTTTGAAGTATGGTGCATTCCCAAATGGGTAAGCAGGATGCATTCCTAATTGGGTAGACATGGCGCTTTCCCAATTAGGTAAACGTGGTGCATTCCCACATGGGTAAAAATGATGCATTCCTAATTGGGTAGACATGACGCTTTCCCAATTAGGTAAACATGGCGCATTCCCAAATGGGTAAACAGGATGCATTCCTAATTGGGTAGACATGGCGCTTTCCCAATTAGGTAAACATGGCGCATTCCCAAATGGGTAAACAGGATGCATTCCTAATTGGGTAGACATGGCGCTTTCCCAATTAGGTAAACATGGCGCATTCCCAAATGGGTAAACAGGATGCATTCCTAATTGGGTAAACACGGCGCTTTCCCAATTAGGTAAACATGGCGCATTCCCAAATGGGTAAACAGGATGCATTCCAAATTGGGTAGACATGGCGCTTTCCCAATTAGGTAAAAATGGCGCATTCCCAAATGGGTAAACAGGATGCATTCCAAATTGGGTAGACATGGTGCTTTCCTAATTAGGTAAACATGGCGCATTCCCAAATGGGTAAACAGGATGCATTCCTAATTGGGTAGACATTGAGCTTTCCCATTTAGGTAAGCATGGCGCATTCCCAAATGGGTAAACAGGATGCATTCCTAATTGGGTAGACATGGCGCTTTCCCAATTAGGTAAACATGGCGCATTCCCAAATGGGTAAACAAGATGCATTCCTAATTGGGTTAACATTGCGCATTCCGAATTGGTGAAACATGATGCATTCCCAATTGGGAATGGGTGGTATTTACAAAATATGTTTGTCATCTTCATCAATATTAACTTTAAGACTGATAAAAACCCTCTTTTTTTCATTGTTTTTAGCAAAAGAAAATTGACCTGAAGGAGAACCTCCTGATTGAACTGGAGGACAAGAGGCGGATGATAGAGGGCGACAGAGTCACCATGGAACTCACTGGTGGTATGTCACAAGCATGCGTCCCTTCAGAATTATATTGCCTATCTATTCAAACTATCTCACTGTGAGAACTTTGCAATTGTTATGTCTGATATAGTTCAGCAATATATTTCTCATTTTTAGGTGATACAATATGTGTAATTTATGTCTGCAACCTTAGTCCTTACTGTTTTCTGTTGAAAGGTTTTCCAGTGTTTTGAGCAAAGTGGAACTGTAAAAGTGAAACTACTATTACTTTTAGAAGTGATGTCTAAATATTCTTCATCCCCCTCTTTTTCCTATACATGTCTCGTCTTTGATTTCTCTCAATGTACATGCCTCTTGATTACATTTTTGTGGTTGCAAAGAAGTAAAAGTTGCATTGCATTGAATTGAATTATAAAGAATGTACTGTATGTATTGTTAGATTTTGGAGGATTTGGGAAGGTCTCTCTCTAGATAGTATAAAAATGGGTTTTGCTTTTCTTTCTGTATCCTCCAAAATCATTCAAAATCCAACACTTTGTACTTGCATGAAACCAATGGCACACACTTCAACTTAAACTTAGGTTCATCAAGCAACACTCTGCCAAAATCCTACACATCCTTCAAAACCCCATGATTTTGAAGGGTCTGGGAAGGTTAGGGATGAGTGGGGGTCATCAAGCCACACGTCAAGTCGAAGCCGCTGGGTTGTTCCAAAATCCTTTAAAACCCATGTTGGATTTTGAAGGAAATTGAAGGGTTAGGGATGAGTGAGACAAAATTTGATGGTTATTATTCTTTTCTATGTAGTCGATCCCTTGGAAGTGAAACCGGCAAGCACTCGTAAGCTGAGGAGGCGACAGAATGAACCAGTTCCTCTGCCGGAGAAAAGAAGAAAACCTTCACCAGATATCCTTTGAATTTACTTGCAACCTGTTCCTGAATCTTATGAAATCCAACAAATTAAAACTCAATAGAAACATTCTAAATCAGTGAAAACCTTCACACTTTTAGTAACCATCTTGAAGAACACTATCCAGTAGCAGTGAAATTGTTGTATTTTGTAGTTTTAAGCATAAGCATTTGTTGTTGTTGTTGGATTGTGTTTGATTCGTTTGCTGTCATAAGATTCTGTTGGATTCAGCAGGCTATGGAATTTGCTTTTTGTTGGATTCTGTCCAATTCAGCATGCTGAACACTTTTATGCTGTGATTATGTTGAATGCAGCTGGTTTCTCAGCTCACTGTTGATAGATTTTGTAGGATTCAGCAGAATTCAAACTTTACTGTTGTTAGGTTCTGTTGGATCTACAAATGCATGTAGACATTCTTACTGTGCTGTTGTTGGATTCAGTTGAATTCAACGGGCTTCACAATTTGCTGCTGTTAGATTCAAAACTCTTTCAGTTGGACTATTTTGGATTCAGCAAGCGTCACACTTGACTGTTGGCTTCAGTAGGATTAAGCATTCTTTACAATTTTGAATGAGGGGTCATAATTTGCTGTTGTCACATTCAGCAGGCTTCACAGTTTACTCTAGGATTCAGCAGGCTTCACAACTTAGATTGTGTTGGATTCTGTTTGATTCAGCAGGCATCACAATTTGATTTTGTAAGATTCAGCAGGCTCCACATTTTACTATTGGATTCTGTAGGATTCAGCAGGCTTCACAATTAGATTCTGTTGATTCTGTTTGATTCAGCAGTCTTCACACTTTACTGTCGGACTCTGTTTGATTCACCAGGCTTCACAATTTAGATTGTGTTAGATTCTGTTGGATTCAGCAGTCGTCACAATTTGCTGTTGTAACATCCAGCAGGCTTTACACTTTACTATTGGATTCTGTAGGATTTAGCAGGCTTCACAATTTAGATTGTGTTGGTTTCTGGTTGATTCAGCAGGCATCACAATTTGCTTTTGTTAAATTCAGCAGGCTTCACACTTTACTGTTGGATTCTCCAGGATTCAGCGTGCTTCACAATTACATTGTGTTGATTCTGTTAGATTCAGCAGTCTTCACATTTTACTGTTGGATTCTGTTTGATTCCGCAGGTTTCACAATTTAGATTATGTTGGTTTCTGGTTGATTCAGCAGGCATCACAATTTGCATTTGTTAAATTCAGCAGGCTTCACACTTTACTATTGGATTCTGTAGGATTCCGCAGGCTTCACAATTAGATTGTGTTGATTCTGTTTGATTCAGGCTTCACCAGGCTTCGCAATTAGATTCTGTTGATTTTATTTGATTTAGCAGACTTCACAAGTTTGCTGTTGTTGGATTCTTTAGGATTCAGCAGGTTTCACAATTTAGATTCAGTTGATGTCGTTTGATTTAGCAGGCTCCACAAGTTTGATGTTGTTGGAATCTGTAGGATTCTGCAGGCTTCACTCTTTGGTTTCATTAGATATTGTAGGAGTCTGTTGGCTTCACAGTACTCACCATTAGATTCTGTTGGATTGAGAAGGCTTAGCTGTTTGGTTTTGTTAGATTCAGTAGGTTGCTTAGAAAAAACACCAAGGGTGTACAATTTTGAGAGGAACTCAGAGTTGTGTAGGAATGTTTTGAATTGAATTTTAAATTGCATCCTCATTCTTTGTTTTCCTTAACTGGTTCCCACCTCAGTTCTGCTTTCTCTTGTCGGAGGAAGAGATCGCCAGCGACATGAAACTTTTGAACAAAGTTAGTACGGGTAACCAACAGTTCAGGAAGAAAAAGGTTAAAAGGCAACGTTCATTCGATCCATTAATACTATTGTCTTGAGTTTCAACTAACACCAGGTGGCGGTGTGGTAGGGGAGGGGTTCGGGTTGGGTTGTGATCCCCATTTGGAGATACTACCAGTTACTTAAAGGATCCCCCATTATGCACCTGTTTTTGTGTTAAACACTTGTGTCTATTGTGTCTAGTTTGGACAGCTAATTAACTAATCAATCTGTTGGTCGGTTTAATACTTGTGGTTAGTTAATAACCATTCATTGTGCAATCATGTCATAGCTCCAAAACCCCCAAAAGAGGTAATTGATCAACGAATTATAACAATTTATAATAATTTATACATTTATATTGCGCAAATTCCATGATCAAATGCGGATCACAATTATTATCCCTGTTCATCCCTCATTGCTCGAGATCCACACAATATGGTCTGTACCTTCACAGGTACCCATTTATACTCCTGGGTGGAGAGAGGCAATCATAGTAAAGTGCCTTGCCCAAGAACACAAGCACCATGTTTCCTGTCAGGGTTCAAACTTATGTACCACGGCACATTTAGTAATCCTTTTTTTTGTTTGTGGGGTTCCAGACAGAGTTAGCGGTAATAAAAAAAAGGCTTGTTTTCTTGGGTTGGGAGCCCAAATAAGGTCAGTCGGAAATGAGAACCAAAGAATAAAAAAACGGGATGCCCTCTTCAAAATTAATCAGTCTTATGATGAACTGTTGATCTGTAATCTCCTGCCCCATGTGGACTTGTTTATTTCCCCTTCTGACTTTTAATACTTTGATGAGAAATTATAATCTTTACTCCTTTTTTTTTTTTAATTCTCAGCAAATCAAGGCGGCCTCCAATAAAAAATCTTCAGGTAAGAATTTGGTCTGGCAATTCATTCTTGAATTCTCAACCCACATTTAATAACAGCCTTTGTTCATGTTATGCAGTTTTTAAAGGCTTGTAGGGTCATGGGCATTTATTCCAAAAGTAACCTACCAAGTTACCAAAAACTTACCTGGATTTACGGTCGTACTGTTACTAAACACCCCGTAAAATTATTCCGTCTGGCTTGCTGTCATTTGGAAGAAATCAAGAAATGTAGGTAATTTCCAGTGATGAGTCAATTGACTGATTTTTTTAATAAAGAGTGCCTTTGACGAAAGTGTGTTTCGTGATCAAAAGGTGGTGCATGGTTTTCCATTGTTTTCTCAAAATTGTAATATCTACTGAGTTGAAAATTAACAGGTTAGGTTTGAACATTCTTCTTTGGATTTGGAGTGGTGTTATATTGGAAATGAACACAATTCATGAAAAGCAAATTATCCTTAACGCCTTTTAATAAGCCTTGATATAATTTTTTTTACATGTTCTCTGTAAGGTTAGAACATGTTAAGAGCCATCTTTCCCACCTGAAAATTTTTTCCAGATGAACAAATGCAACAACGTTTACGAAAACAAAGGACGAACTGTCAAAATGTAACATGCATATCGTCAATAAACTCAGAGATCACAAAGAAAATGGTTGTTTATGTTTTTATCCATCTTTGTCTCTCCCTCTTAGTTGCCCCGAGCAACAAGCCCCACACGCCAACCAACAACAACAACAGCAACCTCTCTAGCAGCGCGAGTGCTAGCAGCGCCCTGGCCCAGCCCAAGTACATCGTCCGCATCGCCGACAGCAAGCTGTTCTATGAGAAACGCTGGTTCCACCGCGGCCAGAACATCTACGTGGACTCCAAGGACACAGGAAAAGTCAGCGCAGTCATCAGCTCCATCGGAACGAATGAGGTCAGTATTTTAGGGGATTTCAAAATGGCCGATTGACGATTTTGTAGCGATGCATTGTAGCATTTTCTTTCATAATGTTGAAACTTCAGTAGCGAGAAAATAACATCTTTGTATAGTGATTAACTAACGATTGTTATTAGGGTGTGCATTTATGGGTAGTGCGGTAACCGGTTACCTGGATACACGAGTACCCGTTAAAAAAAAAAAACCCAAAACTCAAATCTCAGAAGCTGCTGTTCAGATTGTTCATAAAGGTCTGTACGATAATACTACTACATGTACATCGGTGCATCAATACAGCTGTGTACAGTGAGCTTTGTAGCTTTGCCGTGTAAACTGCAACTTTCGCAAGGGTCTTTAACGTGAAATGTGTTTTGTTTTCCCATGTGGCCTGGTTTTTATTATGAAAATTCCCCACAAATAACATTCAAAACCTTTCTTTTTAATGCGGGCAATTCACAATGCAGTGCGCCACCAAGAGTTTGCCACGGAGAATTAATTTTTCTCAGTGCATTGTGGGAGATGGTCGACAAATTCGCAGCATGGTACATTTGAAATTGTTAGTTTTTTCGGTCAGTGGTTCAAGTTGTCTACTGACACTCATTCAAATGGGCCATGTTTTGTCGACCGTAAACTTGAAAAATAGACTCTCCATGGCAAACTCTTGGTGGCGCACTGCATTGTGAATTGCCGGAATTGTCTGAGAAGTTACTTAGTAATTTGTAAAGGTGGTTACGGGTACCCGATCCCATAATCTAGAACCGGTTCCTGACATCAGCGGTCGGGTACTCAGGTACCCAGTTCCGATGCACAGCCCTAGTTGTTATATTATTGTTTCTAATAAATAAATCATCAATGAATTGTGTCACAAAACAATAGGATGCGTTGTTTCAGAAAGCTGTTGTTGAATTAATTGACAGTACAGTATCTTAACACCACTCTATCAAAGGACCAATTGTATTTGTTATGATCTCATTAAGGATTTGCCTGCCAGTGTCTTTACCAATTTTTTCAAAAACTGTTTCCACAGGTCTGGGTGAGGAAAACACTTGACAATCAGAAGATGAGGATCTACGTCTCACAAATGCAGAAAGGCAAATACAAGATTCGGAAACGGTCCACCTGAGATATTAACTCCGCCCCTAAATACAACCCCTCCCTGTATTGCATGGATTTAATTTAAGTCTCATGCCAAACCATGTATAGAACCCAATTTGGAATACTGTACATAACTTCAACCTTGTAAATACATGTATATTATTTTCAGTAGTAGGTGCAGAATATGTGGTTATTTTTTGTGTACTCCAAAATGAAATATTGATTATAGTTTTCTTGTGGATTCAATGTACATTGTGTTTTTTTAAAGGAAGAAGTCAAGGTGGAAAAATCACTGCAAAGAATGGAGAATAATCTTGAAACATTTAGTGAAGTCTTGCAAACAGTTTTTAAGAAGATAAAATTGTTTAAAAGCTGTTTTTGTGAAAAGTGGTGCAGTAAGGTTGACATCTGCAGCTGATTTCATGAAAGAGTGTGCAGCTTATGCCATGCGTAAGACTTACTCAACAAATTTGTTGCGCAACTGCGCAATAAACTTATGATCAATTGCATGAAACTTGGCGTAGCTGCACAACGTTTTAAATAATTGAAACATCTTGGGCAAAGATAAAAACAACATTTATGACGGCTGTTTGTGTGTGAATTTGTTCATTCGCGGACGAAACTTAATGCTTAAGTTACGCCATAATTTATTGCGCAAGTCGCGAACTTCATCAAACTTCACGAACGCACCATCCCACTTTCGTGAAATATGTCATAAGTGAAATGTTGCGTAGCGTTAAATTTTTGCGAAATCTACCCAATAAATGTTGGTGCAAACAGAGTTGTGAAATCACCTGCAGGAAGTCATTGCAATTTTCACAGTTATTTTTTTGTGGGTTTCAATGTAGCTAACTATTATTGTTAAACCTGCTGAATCTAGCAAGATCAAAAGCTAAAATAAATTGTTGGATTTTTGTTGGTCTGAAAACGTCTTCTAGCCATTGGATTCTGTTGGATTCAGCAAGTTTAACAGCTCCCTCTAGCAGTGATTTTGGACGTCAAAGGTTGTTTTGTTGGATGGATTTATTGACCCAAGGAATGTTTATACCAAATTTGAAAGCATTTGAATGAAAAAGGTCAAAATTTTACCAAGTATCATATTATGACAAAAAATGGGCAGGAATATAGAAATATAGTACCCTTCTCACAGCTAGGAGTACCCCTAACTCCCTAGGGGGTATGCAAAATCATATTAAGTATTGTAGTACTCAGGATAGTTAGGGTTGCATCGGCAGATTTTCAAAAAAAAATGATTGCAGGATGTACAATATGATGATTTTTTTGTTGTACAAAAAAAAATGTACTGTGGTGATCACCTGGTGCTTTTCTAGTAACCCATTTTTGGTCAAAAAAAGAAGAAGAAAAGGCCTATAGATGCGGTATAATTTTTTACATTTATCATTTAAATGCTTTCAAATTTTGTACAAATTTTTGTGAATCTGTCTCAAAATCTGATTTTTTTTTTTACCAAAATTGACACAGTTATGTACTTGTAATGATCATTTACATTTTTCATGTAAGAAGTGTTAAAAAAGAGGTACTCAAAGTGAAAATTAAATCATGAAAAAAAGGGGGCAAAATAAGTGACTTTTCAGGCACACGGCGGCCATTTTAGATTTCCAGCATATGTGTGGTTGGTCATGTGTCCATTAACTATTTTGGAGAAGTGGATACTTGATAGGTTAGGCAAAAAAGCTATGTTTTAGACTCACTAAAATGCATAAGGTCCACGTTTTTAATAGAAAAAGACCACATTTTATGGACTGGTGTTTAGAAATCAGTTTCTGATGCAGGTATCTACACTATAGTGGTGCGGCATAGCCCCAATATGCCAAAGGATTGTGCAATTTGTGATAAAAGCATGAAACTTTGCATGTTGGTTCTTCATGCCAGGAAGAAAATTTTGATCAGATGTGGGAACAACTCATATCTTTGTTTACAATTCATGTCGGAGTTACAATTTATGTCCGAATTCAAATCCTAGCCTTCATATGGATATAGAGATTGACACAATTGTTAATGCCACTCTTTTTCATGACCCAAGTCTAAAACTTAAATCTCAGTGCTGTGAAAAGTATTTTCCGATGTGGGGACATCATATTTGAAGCAGTGATACCCTTGGAGAAGTCCACTAACTGTGTATATCTTAGTTGCCGCTATTTGTCATATTTATTCGTCAAAACGCCACTTTTTCATGACCCAAGCCTCAATAGTGCCAAAGAACGGTATTGCACCTATTAGTGTACAGTCGTGTCATGAATTCAGACCCCACAAACAATTTTGAGATGTCCTCTGACCTCGTTTCTACTTGTGTTATTGTCAGACGCAATATGAGCTTGGAATAGAAATCTGTGGATCTGCTTTGTTATGGAAAACGAACATACATGTATGTTAAGCAATATTCACTGTTGTCTACTTATTACACCATGTTGTATCCAGATGGACCTGTATATAACCACGTTTCTAACCTTTTTACCAAGCCCAATGGTCACTGTTAGAGAGTGATGCTTGTCCGATGTGCCTCTTACAAATGTATATTCTATTGCGCCTGCGTCTGCCCTTATAGAAAGGTCAATTTAGATCAGAGATCTTTTTTACAATTCATGTCTGAAAGTTGTTCATGCTATCACTCTGTGCACACTTCTGCCATAGACATGCAGAGCCTCCATCTGGCAACTTTTTTACACAATAAATTTAGCTGGTTCAGTGAACAAGATAATAAATGTATTGACCTCGCAAAGGTCATCAGAGGTCGAATATGTAATGTCTACTATCTGTGTTTTGAATAGTTAATCCTCTTATTATCTATAGGATATGCACAGTTCATTACCCCTAGAAGGCCATCAGAGGTCACATATGAAATTCCCTACATATGAAATTCTTTTCATAGCACAAGCCACTTAACAAAAAAGACTTGGGTCTTGAAAAAGTTGGGGTTTAAAGGATAAATTGCAGAAATAACCATGAATAGAGTTAGTGCATAATACAAAGGTCATTGACCTCTGGAAGGTCTTCAGAGGTCAATTGTGAATTTTTCCTGCATTTGGTCATTGTTAACATTGCATGAAGACTATCCATAAACTTAGGTCATAGGAAAGTGGTGTTTTAAATAACAATAGGTGTAGAGTATATCAGAGGTCAATGACTCCTCAAAGGTCACCAGGGGTCAGATATGAAACGCCTCCATATCTGAATTTTTTGTCACGGTATGAAGACCTCACATGGCAAGCTTTATGCTTTTATAACAAAATGCACAATTTTGTCCCTATGCCGCACCACTACTAGGTTTTCTCCCACAACAATGGATATGATGTACGGACTTACCAATGGCAATGATGACTACCAGTTTTGAAAATGGCGGTCATTTTTGTCACAATGTAAACCTGAAATGGCTTATTGTCAAAAGGCCTCATATAATTCTAACAACATGCCAAATTTCATGCTTCTATCAAATTAGAATATTAGTCATTCATTATAGTCGCAGAAGTTGTTCAGTATTCTTACAATATCTTATTTGTGAGGTGTTCTGGAAAAATGAGACCGAACTGGGCAGAGGTGGAAATGAGGGTTTGCAGCATTACGAAAGAGAATAAAACTCTCATACGGTTTGTTGCACTTCAGTCCGACATTCCTTTGACATCTTCAAAAGTTATGGCTGTTTAGAGTTTTCATTTATGGACTTGTCAACAAAGTAAAACACTGACAAAAAGGCTTTTTAAGTTTTGAGTTTTGTAGTCATGAAAATTAAATATGCCAATTGTTTTTCCCTTAAAAACTAGTTCCCGGCTTTCTAAACTGGTTATTTAAATTGTGTAGGAAACATTTAAAAGATTAAAATCTGAAATTGGAACCCAAAAATCACCCACATTCAGTTTCTTCGAATTTCGCTCCACTATGACCTGTGCCCAGTTCTGTCTCATTTTACCAGAAAACCTCACAAAAATGTGTCTCGAGTCATTCTACAGAAGAGGCAAATTGTTGGTGTTTTTTTTTAATTGGGGGGGGGGGGTGGGGGTTGAGTAGGCAAGTGTGAATCACATGTACATGTAATGTATATCAGGAAGGCTTTTTTTTCAAATTGTAAATAACAAATTGGTACCATACATGTGCGTAAGCCGTTTCTTTAGACCTTTATTTCTCAAAATTCAGGCAAAAATCTCAGAGTCCATGAACATCTCTGGTATATGTAAGGCCAAAAAAAAAAGTCTCTGGTTTCTAATATGGAGCTTGCCCAAAAAGTGGTGCGGCGACGCGGCTTTTTTTTTTTTTTACCTGATTTTTTTGCTTCAAATGTCAGCTGATGACTGCAAATGGTGCCCGACTAAACTTAGTGCAAATATATGGGAGGCCAGAGAGGCCACATAAAGCTTATTCTCGACCATAACCCAATCTAAAAACGCATTAAAATTGTGCAGCAGCAGGATTCCAGTCAAACCAGTGAGTTTGGCGGTTTTGAGACATCATCTTTCATTGAAAAAAAAACTTTTTCATTTTGCCGACGCGCATGGCTACGGCGATGCACGTGCAAACCGGAGACTTTTTTTTGTTGGCCTAACAGGAAAATGATTGATTTCTGTTCTGTTTTCAATACATAAATTGTACATTGAGAAATGAGCAATTGTACATATGTATATTAATGTCAACTCCTTGTACATTGTATATGGAATTCCAAATCTTTGATGTACATCAAATGTGTATGCCACAGGCAAAGCCAAAGGGTACAAAATGTATACTATATCTTCTGATCGTATGACGTCAAAGTTATGACCATCCAGTTTTAATGTGAACGGTAGCCATTGCAGTAGGCAAGCGTTTGTAACAACCACATCCCCCATCGTTAACTAGACAGTAGGACTTATTGTCACGTAAAAGAACCGTGACTTCTTTATCAAATTGCATAATGGTCACTACCTGTGCCTTGTACGGTTGTCATAATCTTGCTGTCCCAGCACTCGGTGTTTAATAATTGCTCCACGTTTTCTCACAGTTTTTGCCATCCATCACAGCTTTGAATGCTTGCCTACTGTGCACAATGCTATAAAATCTTTGCCTAATACAATGGTGGCGCTGAATGTCACGTAGTTTGCATACTCTATTCACAAGTTATATCTATTTTAATAGAACTACCACAGAACTCAGGTGTCCACCACTGAATACCAATACGCATTGATGAATACACTTTAATAACGTTTGAAGGTTTTCCTATCTCCATGAATGAACGAACAGTTGCGAAGGAAAACAGACAGAAATCAGAGTCATCATTTCAGAAAAAGTCTATAGATTTGTTCCTCATATACAAAACACATCAAAACACTGTTTCAGTCTTGACTCAAATTATCTGCAGCATCAATTGTTTGTATTTGGTAACCTGTGTGTAATCTCTGGTTCGCAATCAGCTGAACAGCTCCAAAGCACTATTGGCATTCCATGGACAGCTGTGAAAATGTGTTCTTTCAGTCAAACATGCATAACGTCTGATATAGCATGGATCGACGTTAGCATTTGTTTTTGTCTCATGGGTATAAGAACATGCTCGTTTAATACATGCTTCACTGGTGTATCAAAATCCTAGAGTAAGGTCCACGATGAAATTTATTTGACTTTTAAGGGGGACAAATCATTACTCAGGTCACTTTCTTTTTGGCTCACCCTGTGTAGTAAAACATGTATGCTATTTGTGTGTCACAATTTGGTGTCCTCAAGAAAACTTGAGTTAAACTTCGCATATTAACTTCAGACTTGGTATGTGTTTTGGCCTTGGGATTCACCATTAAGCCTACCAGTTTTTGAAACCATTTGTCAGAGGTCAAGATCAATGATTCCAAAACGGTATACATTTGTATTTCGTTTTCCCAGGGGTACCTTGAGGTAGAATTGGCATATTCGTTTAAAACTTTGTTGTTAGTCTTTGAGTGCGTACATTTTTGGTTTTTTTTGGTAAGGCCAAAAAAAAAAGTCTCCGGTTTCTGGTATGCGCGCGCATCGCCGTAGCCATGCGCATCGTTTTGATGTCTCAAAACCGCCAAACTCACTGGTTTGACTGGAATCCTGCTGCTGCACAATTTTAACGTGTTTTTAGATGGGGTTATGGTCGAGAATAAGCTTTATGTGGGCTCTCTGGACTCCCATATATTTGCACAAAGTTTAGTCGGGCACCATTTGCAGTCATCAGCCGACATTTAAAGCAAAAAAAATCAGGTAAAAAAAAAAAAAAGCCGCTTCGCCGCACCACTTTTTGGGCAAGCTCCATACCAGAAACCGGAGACTTTTTTGGGGGCCTAACAGGGTAAATCCGTAAAGTTTGACGTACATGTCCGACACTTTAATGAGCTTCCATTGGAAAAGTAAATTGTGGTACATGTACATATCTAATAATGTGGCTAATGAGTAATGAGTAGTAAACAATTACTGACCAAACTAAAGTGCCACCACCTTAACAACCTTGTACACATTAATCAGGTAGTCTGACCGTACGTCGTATTTTACGGAATTGCTCAATACACAAATCCTATTTGTCATGAGTTTTGAAATTCGCTGACCAGCATGTTTGTATTTATTGACACTTTTTTGTTGAAAAGATAAAAGTTCTATGAGGTAAACCCTGTGCTTTTATTTAAAAAATTGTGCTAAAGTTGATTTTTGAGAAGAGAAAAAATGTACTTTATACTAAAGTTAGGAAACTAATTTG